GAGAGAGAGAGAGAGAGAGAGAGAGAGAGAGAGAGAGAGAGTTGAGATAAAAAAATTTTAAGTGTGTTTAAAAGTCTTTCCTTCAGGAAAGCGGCTTTAAAAGAGAAAACTGTGGTGAGGGAAGTAGATGGATCCTGATCCATGGTCTTGGGACCTGGCCATCCACTTCCTGATACTGTCTCCTCTGGGACTTGGGAACTGGCCCTGGTGGTCTTTAAAGTCACTTATAGGGCTGGTGTGCAGCTGTTCTGATATGCATTGCCTTGCATCACATGAATCTAGGAGGGTATAGTTCTTGCATTTTGATGTCAGTTGGGTGGTTAGTGGGATTTCATAAAGCTCTTTCTGATGTAGAAACAGGGCAGAACGAAGTATCATTTAGCTCTTTAACTATCCTAAGAATACATATGTCCCACCGTATAAACAATATGTGAAAACCAAACTGTTAAAGGCCACAGAAAGTCCTCTTGCCCAGGCTCCATCTGATGATCTTTGGGATCCGTTTGTAGCCATTTGTCCTTTTCATTCCCTGGGGCATTGATACTGCCTGTCAGGGCTAAACACAGGCTCATGAGCTGGGTGAAGAAGGAATGGAGGGCTTTACTGGCTGCATAGTTAGAGCCTGTCAGCCTCTCACTTGCTGTGCACCTATGTTTAGCTTCTTGGTTTGGGGGCTTTTAAAAAAGGTGTATATCTATTTTATGTGTAGGAGTGCTCTGCCTATGTGTATGTATGTGTAGCATGTGCATACCAGGTGCCAGATGAGGCCAAGGGGGCAGCAGATATCCTGGAACTGGAGTTACAGATGGCTGTTGGTCATCATGTGGGTGCTGGGAATCAAACTGGGGTCCTCTGTAAGAGCAGCAAGTGCTTTTAACCACTGAGCCATCTCTCTACCCACAAGTGTTAAGTTCTTTACAGTGGGCCAGACAATAACAAGGGTTCTCTTGGTGGGAAAGTGAGGAACTGCAGTGGAGCAGAAGTGATAACTCTTGTTGGTACTTGGAGTACCAACCCAAGGTAAGAACATGGGGCTTCCAAACTCTGACACTCTTTGGCAGACTATAAACACATGTTTGTAGTTATTTTAATAGTGTCTGTATTTCATTTGCCCAGAGTATAAACTCCAGGAAGAACAGCACACTCAGTAGCACAGGCTGACTTCACAGTGGGTGTATGTTCCACACAGGCTTCATGTAGGGAAGCTGTGCCAGAGCCAGTTTCTGCTTTTCCTCTGAAACAACTTTCCCAGAGGCATCACCAAGGAGAAGCAAATCTGAGTTAACGGAAGAGAGCCAGAGATTCTCTTGTGGCTTCAAAATCATATCCATGGTTGTGGGGCAATCATGTAGAGGGGAAGGAGAACTCCATCTGCCAGGGAGGGGGAGATTCTAGCCAGGTATGAGTGTGAGAGTGACAGAAGATGGTGGAGTTGGTCACAAGGCTTGTGCACAGGTGAGTGCTGACTCACAGGTGTTGTGTCTCACAGACTTGTGAGGGAGCACCACAGCATGAGGAACTCCAGTGTGAATGGATAGGTTAGTGTGAGAGGCTCTGTCAGCTAGGGTGGCAGTTTCTGCCACTGCACACAGGCACTGGGGCATGCCTGCTGTCAGAGGGTGTGATCAGTAGAATGCTGTGGGTGGACTGGAGAGACAAAGGGCTGTCCAAGGATGCCCTCAGAAATCCCACGATTTTCCTGGCAATGTAGGTGAAAGGTTATTAAAATCAGGTAAACTGCAGAGCAGGACTGTGGACAATGCTACGTGCAGGGTTTCACAGGAAGCTAGTGCCTCTGAGGCAGAGAAATGGGCCTCAGTGTGGCGGCATTAGGAATCCATTGGTGGTGGCAGCTGTTGCTCATGTAAATATACGAAAGTGCTTCTTGGTTTGGGAGAATAGCTGGTACAAAGTTAACTGTAAGCATTTGAAGTGAACTTTCAAGTGTCCTGAGCATCCTAGGTCAGGGAATCCATTGGATCTCGAGACTTCATGACTCATTCAGTGAGAGCTTTCTGGAGAATGAGGATCTGTAAGAATACTCTGTCTTGTTATAAAACAAGAAATTGTGAACATACTCTGCAAGACTGAGCACTGGGTAAAGGCTGTAGTCTAAACTATCCTGAGAGAGATCCACAGTGTGCCTGAGATACAGAATTTGAGGTTGATTGTGTCCTTCTTCTGGTAAATACAGAGAGTTGTGGCAAGTCTGGGTACATCAGGGTGTAAGGGAAGCTACAAGAAAGACGAACAGAGGTTGATCACTGTAAACCAAGGCACATCATCCTGAGAAAATAGGAATAACTTATGACCTTTAAATATTTGGATAATCAATTGATTTGATGTCTGCCTCCAGTTTTTTATCTTCCATTACTGACAAGATTGGGGTTACAGATGTGGAAGTGAAATTAGACATCCTGTTCAAAGGGGGAATTTTACGCCTCTTGTGAGGGGTGGTGTTGGGCTTTAAAAGGGAAAGATTTGTTCCCTTCTCGGGGCCTGTGGGTCTATGGTCAGTGACAGCATTAGGTGTGTGTGAATCCCACACTGGATGAGACTTCCCATGAGATGTTGTGGGAGACAGGCTTGAGCCTAGGGTGAAAGTCTTAATGAGCAGCCGCAGTGCCCATGAAAATGAAGGAGTGACACCCATGCGAAAGGAGGAGCGGCTGCAGCCTGCAGCGGCCACAGCTGGCTCCCAACGTAGGGCACACAAAGTCCGACCCCAGGAGGCTGTAACACTTGGACAGTCATCCAGCTGCCAGCAGCCCCCGTGCCGCTGCGCTGGTTTCTCTCCTCAGGATTCGGCGAATCAGGGTAAGGGGGAAGGATGTAAATAAGGTATTAGATGAAGTGCTAGCTCTTGCTCCTTGGTTTATGGATTCCTGCTGCTGGGATCTGGAGCGATGGGCTTGTGTGGGTTTATGGATTCCTGCTGCTGGGATCTGGAGCGATGGGTTCCTGGCCAGAAAGAAGTCAGGGAGGGGCACCCACAATCTGGGCTGTTGCATCCCATTGTGACTGCCATTCTGGACTCACTTTGGGAAGATCCCCCTGACGC